ATGATTTACTTTATAAGAAATAAAAAAAGATCAACTTTCCATTTGTTTCCTCACTTAAATGGCAAATTAGTAGTAAAGGGACTGATTTATCGTTTTAATCCATTAGTGTGTATTTTTATTATACTTTATAAAGTAAGTAGTATATAAAATTATGCTTGATTGGTGCCATAGTTCGTTAATGTTTGTATTTATTTGGGAATACATTTATTACATACATTTAAGCTAATATTTAATAAACGTGTTAGAAAAACGGGAGTGCCGATGGAGACCTGTGGGGGTGTGTACGTTTGAAGGGACTTGACCTGGTGGAGACCAGGTCACAGCGTGTCACAGGTCACACAGTGTTAGCAAAACGGGAGTGCCGATGGAGACCTGTGGGGGTGTGTACGTTTGAAGGGACTTGACCTGGTGGAGACCAGGTCACAGCGTGTCACAGGTCACACAGTGTTAGCAAAACGGGAGTGCCGATGGAGACCTGTGGGGGTGTGTACGTTTGAAGGGACTTGACCTGGTGGAGACCAGGTCACAGCGTGTCACAGGTCACACAGTGTTAGCAAAACGGGAGTGCCGATGGAGATCGGCACTCCCGTTTTGCTAACACTGTGTCACGTAACAATTTATTGTCACTAAATTAAATGTATCGTTCAAAGCCTAGGGTTATATCGTAATGTTGTAAATTTTAGATAATGAAGAAATTACATCTTTACAATTTCCTAAAACATCAACTGGCAATTAATCTTGCCTTTGTCAATCACTCGAGCCAATCACACAAAGGAGATGCAATAAATCACAGTAATGGCGTGTTAAATCATTTAGTGGTAGGGGTGGTAAGGGGGGGGGGAGACGCATCCATTAGCAAATATGTTACGGCGTAACTGAATAACGCAGATGACACTGGAAGTTTGAGCTTGTCGGGAAACTAAATATTTCGTCAAATCTTTTCTGATATATTCAACGCTGGTCGTAGTTTTTAATTTGATTTTGGTAGCCGGAAGTAAAAGTTAATGTAGTTATTGTATACCAACGTAAGCCTTGAAGGGCCTTAAATGGCAAATACTTATCTTCGGGGCCTTTACTTTTACCCAATCAATTGATTATTTTTAAACATCTTATAAGTAGTAAACGCTAAATTAAACAAAAATACATTCTGTGATTGATCATTATTGATATGGTTGTTTAACATTTAATATCGTTATTACATGGCCTACGCTACCTAATTTTAAAAGAAACATATATATTTCTCAGTTACATTGCATAAATAGGCAATGAAGGGTGTTAGAAGAAATAAAACGTTGCACGTATACAGAAAATACTGGAATATTTGGTAAAAGGAGTCCAATAAAAGAACACCTGTCAGCCTAGATTACTAAAACAAAAAGAGAGATTCAATATCAGTGGAAATTCCAAACACAGATTTGGTGGAATTGCTTAGGCAAATCCGAATTATAAATTTAAATATTATTATTGCAATATCCAAACGTCTTGTTTATGATCAATCCTTTTCAAATATAAATGGTATTGTTCAAGAGCTATAGAACGTACAGGCGGTCGTGTATCTGCAATCCACTCAAATATTGAGTCTTATCTGATTAGCTTACTAATACTAATAATCCCTAATTATTAGTATTAGTAGAACTGCAATGAGAATGATTGAAGCTGTTAGATCCATTTTAGCACTTGGTCTAAGATGTTTTCAGATCAGTTTCTTAGTGACGATAAAAAGAGAAAGTCTAATTCGCAATAACGAAACCTCATCATTTTTCATGGTTTTTACGCTGAAGGTAGGACACAATACTAATGTAATAACCTCTTGATCTCATGTAGGTAACTGAGCTCAGATGCGGCATTGATTCTTACGAGTTTCCAACTTTCTTTTCCAATAGTTTTATCCTAGCAGGTTTGATAAATTACCTCTCAGTGTTTCAACATCATGACACGAGTCACTAATTTTATTCAACCCAGAATAATTTCAATAGATTACGCTTTACTTTATTTTCCTTGTCTTTGGCTGGCCTAAGAAAGCAAATTATCCAATAATGGTAGCGACAGGGTTTCAAAGCGTATTGTTTCACAGGGACTTGATAGCATTGGATTTGTAGCAATGTGTACATCAGATTACTTATTGAATATTAAACGAGCATAGTATCGTAAATTATTTCACCCATTGTGTATCAATATTTATTATCAAAATATAATGTGTCTTACATCAGAAATATGTAGCAAGGACTAGACTACAAAAAAGTACGTTAACTCTTACCATTCTTAATCTAATTTCATACAAAACTACTGTAAATCGATATTAACCAAGTATAAGATAGAATTACTGGTTAGTAATGGATACTAATCATATTCTGTAGATTTTGTGATTAAAACCCTCAAACTAATTTAATTACGTAGGACTTTTTAGGATGATCAGCAAACAAAAATTCCTCTCCAAGACTTTAAGGAATATCCGGATACGTGACCACTTATGTTAACCATAGAAATGAAAACATGTCATAAGGTGTTTGGGCCCTCACAATGAAAAATGCGGTAGCCTAACACTCAATGGCTACAAGCCTATAATGAGTTAAAGGAAAACAAACCCTAAATGGCGTATAGCCAATTGTACAGTCTCGCAATGCAACTACTAAATTAAACGTGTACAAAAACACATTTACACACAGCTGCCTATAACTATACGTATGCCTTGTAAAAGACCTATTCTTTAGCAGCTTTAAAGTTAAATGTCGATCATAATTGTTCATATACCGGGTGTCCAAAACCACCCGTACACCCCTTTCAAAACGATGGAAACCTTTTCTTACAAACAAAAAATAATACAGAACTAGCTAAACTGGGCATGGTCTACCAAATGGTGATAATTTCAAATCCAAAATCACACCGGAAGTGGCTTTTTCATACCGGAAGTTGACTTTTTTAAATGTAAACTACCAATTTTGATTACAGAATCGGATTCTACGTTGAAAAATACATAACTTCTGTCTATAGCATTTTTCGAAAAAACTTGTTTTCTACCTCTAATCCCCCATTAAAGTCAATAATTTTTGGTCATTCATGTGTCAAAGTTACTCGAAACAATAATAGAGAAAAACAAATAACAAAGATTACATAAAGACATATGATGAATAGAATCAGCTGTTTATTTTAAACACCTTAGCAATTGAGTAACAGCTGGTCTACACATTGCTAAGCTTCCTTTTTTTAAAATTTATTTTTACATTTGACCCCTTAATGCAAAAACAAATGATTTTTTTTTTAAATAAAATGAAATTAATCAATGTGTAGACCAGCTGTTACTCAATTACTAAGGTGTTTACAATGAACAGCTGATTCTATTTATGACATGTCTTTATGTAATCTTTGTTATTTGTTTTTCTCTATTATTGTTTTGAGTAACTTTGACAGAAGAATTACCTAAAATTATTGACTTTAATGGGGGAATAGAGAGGTAGAAAACAAGTTTTTTCAAAAAATGTTATAGACAAAAGTTATGTATTTTTCAACGTAGAATCCGATTCTGTAATCAAAATTGGTAGTTTACTTTAAAAAAAGTCAACTTCCGGTCTGAAAAAGCTACTTCCGGTGTGGTTTTGGATTTGAAATTATCACAATTTGGTAGACCGTGCCCAATTTAGCTAGTTCTGTATTATTTTTTGTTTGTAAGAAATGGTTTCCATCGTTTTGAAAGGGGTGTACGAGTGGTTTTGGACACCCGGTATATTTCAAATGTTTAATTACGGATAGTATTAATTATCTTTGCCAAATGTAATACTTTGAAGACAATCACATTAAATGCCTTGTTGAGCGCAAGTTAACACAGCGGTATAACGTCTTGTAGAAGTTACTGTTTGGTGGAAACAATAGCTTAGTTGGGCATTCAGCCTCCTTTCCAACTGGAAGCTCGTTCAGTTAAACAACTTTCGGTGTTTGTCGGCTTTTACTACACGAAACGACGAAATTGTTCCAATCTAAAATAATACAAAGGAATGTCAGAAACAGAAACAATTTCTTTGGTTGAAATGCGTGCAATTTAGTGTACACGTTCTTTTCTCCTGTTTCACACGGTCCGAATACTTTTCTGTGGGATTTACGAAAACACCTTTGTAAGTTTGTACATTGCTTGCGTTTTATTTACTTTATGTTTTCATTTCATACCAGCAATATGCTAGCTAATATGTGAGTTTCCGTCCCCTGTACACATCATGGAGTCCTTGAACGATGGTAGATTAAATAAAATACTTAATCGAGATAAGCAATGGTGCAAACTTGAAATCCATATGTCAACCCTAGCCAAAATGGCTAATTTTTTTATTTTTAATACCTGCCATTTTGGCTCTAGGGTTGACATATCAACTTTAGGTTTGCACCATTGCTTAAGTCTTAAAAACCCCTTCAAACTGATTTGTACTCAATATAAGGGTTGTTATTTGAAAAAAATAAGTCACCCCTACACACAGTCTTTGATGTAAAGAATTTGCAGAACCTTTTTTATAATCGATGCCACAAACTGAAAATTTCTATCTATTTAGGTTATAAAAAACCAGATTTGTTTCAATACTTAATTGAAACACTGTATAACGCTAGGGGATAGTGTTGATCCTGATGAAAAAAAGGGATTGCTAGAAAATTGAGTTCTTATACTACAGAACGCCACAAGCAACCACAGTACTAATTGTGAAACATGCTTATAAAATAATGACATTAACCATAATTAGTAGTAAGGAACAATAACAAACAAGGAACAATAATATGTTGTAGCCTACTTTGATTGAAATACTATTTTAAGGAAGTAAAATTTTGTCTCATACAATTAATAATTAATTGTAATAGTTAATGATAATATTAATAAAAATCTTTAATAATTATAACTAACAATCAATAATTGTCAGTAAAGCAATTTATTAGCTTAATACTAAAGGCATACATGAAGAATTCGCATGATGTTTATCTACTGTTTTTATTTCAGTTCTTGTCTAGGACAGAGTTTATTTTATTCAGTAGCAGAACAGTCGCAGAGCAGTTGTTCAGTGAATGCTATCCTCATTATTTACAGATAACAGATCGGTCAGATTTGCTGAATTAACTGTGCCTCTGATCCCGGTCATTTCTGGAATGACTGGTAATCATAGACTTCGTTACAATGCTTGTTCGCTAAAACTTGACGTAATTTATCAACAGTGTATTTCACAGCCCAGTTTAAGACTTGTTTCGTAAACTATTGTGGTGGTATTTAATGCTGTAACATGTTTTAAATATAATATACCAATAAAATGAGGGCTATATTTACATGGAATGAAATTTATTCATGCAAAAAAAATTTAAAACCTATATAGTTTTGCCAATTATTGTATAGGTACATGGAAAGATAATATCGAATTAGATTTACCGTACCGTGTGTTGTAATAGTTACTTTAAATTAATTTAACATACAAAATGTAGGTATCGATGAAAAAATCCATTTACACAGCTGATGGTCATTTTACAGCCTTTGAGGACAGAATTAGT